AAATGACAGTAAGCAATGAATCAACAACCCCTTGCTGCAATGACAATAAAGAGCGAATTAACAACCCCTTGCAGGGCTTCCTTGAAGCTGTGGCTTCTGTATCATTTGAATTTCTGCCCTATAAATGAAGCATCATTGCCGATAAAAAAATGAGAATTAGGCAATAGCTGATACAGCACGGCTATACTTGCTTAGTCATATACTCGCTTGTTTGTGCCGTGTTATGCACTGTTCAGTCCCAAGAGCCCTAAGAGAGAAATAGTTAGCTGTGAAACAAGAACCAAACCCACAGCTACTTGTCCCGACATACGAGTTGCATCTGATGGCAAGGACTGTCTGTCGGGGATGCTTGGAAACACATTTTAAGCTTGGGGTTTCAAATATATCTCAACAGAAATGTAAAACTTAAGTGAGTTCTACTCTCTACTTCTTATGCCATCCTCCTCCTCTCAGCGCTTGATTTTGAGAGGCACAGGGCAGCAAAACTCACCGTTTTTACTTTAAACTCAGCCAACACAAGGTAACTCCTGGGCAGTCACTGGGAGCTTTGCATGTTCGCACAAGAGCCCAACAGCCAGACAGCAGCGCTGACACACTCCCTCTGCTCCCCGCATCACGCTAGGAGAAGAAACCCCTCTTTTTTTTTGTCTTTGGAGGTACCAGAGGTGCCATCTCATCCCCACATCTTTGTGGTGCTGTTTTTTGAGATTTCCTCCTCAGCAGCCCACGAAAACTGACAGCATAGCAGAGAAGAAATGGGCTGTTACCATTGAAGTGGCTGGTCCCACCTCTACACAGAAATATCAGTCATGATCCTTTTTGCTATTCATGAAACTGGGAGCCAAAGACACACGACAAAATGGGCGGCTGGAATTGTCATTCTGTTTTTATTTAACAGAGAAATTTTCTCATCCATTTTCTAAACAGGCAGTGTTATTTCAAAAAATCAGAAACAAAGTCATGATCAAAACCACACATATAGAATAACTTAAATAAACATTTTTCCTTTTGAAGATGACTGAAATATAGGATAAATAAAATGTATTATATTATTCTGGACATTGTCCACAAACACTTCATATCTAATAGTTCCTCCATGAAGTATTCAGACAATCAATATATAGCAGCGAAACCACTCTGGCAGTGACTGGGTCTTTAGAGGAACAAGTTGGATGGAAAAAATGAGATTTCACTGAAGAATAAACCTACAGAAATTAGGTTTCTCGATGTTTATGCATCCTTGATTCTTTGTTCCTTAGGAAATGCTTTCTCTCCTTTCTCTCTTGGACTTAAGCTACAGCAAACTGGTTTTACCTGAGCAGGGCTGGAAGCTGTTGGTGCCACTGCTTGGTAAACCACTTGGTAAACCACTGCTCAGGGATTAAGCAGCACTGGGAAACATTAGGGATCATCCACAAAGCCAACATTAGCCTACTGAGGCTCAGCTCCTGAGAAACCCTCCTCAGAGTTGCTCTTCGCTCCTATAGAGGAATGTCTTCACTTCGTTCACCCCAGAGATAGCCCAGCATTAGCTGCAATCGGCTAAATCTAGCATCTGTGAACATCCACACGCTGCTCGCACAAGGCAAGACTTTTGCTATCGTGATGACACCAGTCTAGGTCAACAACACAGAGGTTGTGGTGTCAATCATGCACAGAGGCTTACCACACGATTCCTATAGATCCTATAGGTTTTAGCCCAGTGCTTACTGCTTAGATTGACTTGGCACCTAGGGAGCCCACTGTACAGCACTGCATGGACCAGAGGAGCAAAGTGATTGAAGTGTCTGACTTTGCAATGCTGTGTGCAAAAAGTGTCTTTGACGCTGGTCCTACCTTTGACTTAGAGATCTCACAGCCTAGGATAATGTAATAAATAGCGGTCCTTCCCCGCAGCAGAGCAAGACTGCAGTAAGTGGAGCTGTTTTCTCTCGTCATGCCACATCCCGGTATAACCCCAATGTCATAAAAGAATATAGCTGTAACTCATAATATTTAACATTAACTAGATAGGCAAAGACAGCAAATTTTAGTTCACTGCATTAGACATTAGCTTTTTGTTTAAGAAGCTGAGTTGAAAAATCAGTTTCCTTCTGGTCTTTCTCATTAATACCAGTTCTCTACAAAATTACTAGAAAACACTTCAATAATGTGCACTCCACCTAAAATAACTGAGCAGCTTTGATGATGATCAGATCCATCCTAACCTGAACCTTTATTCAGTCAACCTTTGTATCTGTTTTTCTGAGAATGCCTTCTCTTTCTTGTCACTGAAATATTGCCAACTCTATTTGACCTCATGTCTTATTTAGTGTCTACCCTAAAACCTCCATTCCTGTAGGTAAGCAGTGAAAAGAAAATCTTAGTTTCCCTTCACAGAGTTTCTAGGTCTCATACTTGCAGCAAAAGGTTTGAAAACAGGAATCATATCAGCTTAAAGAAAGCAAATAAAAAACCTTCAAAGGCACTTTTTTAGCAAAATTCTCATGACTTTTACGACAAGCTTATAATCTGAGGAGGAGAGGCAGGTATCTGACTCATGATGTCTAAGTCCTTGGGGTTCAAATGTAGGGATTCCTCTTCACCTTCCTTTTCCTCTTCTTTTCTTTTTCCTCTTCTTTACAAGAGCTTTTCTACTCTTGTATTTTCCATGAGGAACGAAGATGCCCAAATTTCTGGTAGAAATCATCTTCAGCACGAATCAGAGCTTCCTCATCTATGTAGACAGCCGGTCTCCGGGAAGCCAAAAAGTACTGCACTTTCCGCAGGCTCCATCCCATCACGTACTTCAGCCAGCCGCTGACAGCAGCTGTAGACCTGCCAACGCCAGCGTTGCAATGAACGTAGACAGTGTGTCCGTTCTCCAGCAGCCCGTGCAAGAGGCAGACAGCTTGTGGCAACATCTGTATTCTTCCTAAGGTTAAAAACAAGGCACGGTCGTTTGCATTTGAGAAAGCTAGGTTCACGGTTGAGATTATGTCTGTACAGCCTGATGACCTGTGAATCATAACGGCAAACCTGACATATTTTGGGTTTTTTCCTTTTTTTTTTTTCTTTTGAAATGCCCTTCTACCCTAACTTTGTTTTTTTCTTGCAACATAGATTCAGATCACACAAAATCTGTAAAATGCCCCAAGTCTTCTCTAAATACACATTCTGATTAACATTGGAGGTGTGTGGCATACTTGTTTTCACAGGGACTGAGACAAGGCAGCAAATTACATCAAAGAGCACATCTTACATAGCATGAAAATTAGCAAGCCAAAATTGAAATGTTTTTTAGTACCAGAGGTTTGGGAAGCTACCTGCGTACTGCTGCTTTCCAAAACTTTGTAATGAAGGTCATTATGTCAATAATAAGTGAGGGAGGGAGAGCAGAAGAGTATTTTCCTGTACAACTTAATACTGTTAGGATTTAATCGTGTCCTAAGCATATGGTTAAACAACACAGAATAGCCCTTCTCACACCCAAAGGGATGAATACACCGTATTTCCTGACGCCTCTCTCCCTGTTACCCCGGGAACTGAAGCTGCAAACATCAGAGCCTAACTTTTCCTCATGGCACAGATGAGCACTGACATTAAGCCCCTTCAAATCCCTGTTTTAAGGTCTCCTGTCTTCCCTGATGTCCTGTTACTGATGTGACGGTTCTCTATTTGTGGCAGCAGCATTTCACTCTATTGAAAGTTTGTTGGGGGAAGAGAATAGCAGAGACAGACCCAGCACTGCCTCTCTGTTTTTAATCAGCCAGGATGGCAAGCTGTCCTGCTGTGCAAGCTTGCAGTCTTCCACCTACACAGCGCATTTTCATTATACGGGCTGAATTCAAGCTGAAAGCAAAAACAGTCAAGCAGTTATCAATGTCAGACGGCTTTAAACTCAAATACATATATACTGCCAGACACAAAGTATTTAGATGGCCTCTCCGCCTACAGGAAAATATGAATAATTTGTTAGAGACAACACACAGAGCAATTATACCCTGTGTGTTAGCTACATTTTTACACAAAATTTACAGAGGAAAAAAAAAAGTCATGAAAATGAGAGATTAGTAACTCAAAGGGGTTGTTGCTATTAATTTACTGCAAGAGTGGCCAGAGCATTACCTTCAGTGCTCATGTCTGGGGTTGGCATCCAGACATAGGCAAGCCCTTCCTCTTTATACAGTTTCATGAGGATTTCGGGGCTCATGGGTTCCGGGTAGCGGTTGCAGCCCCAGGAATTCTGAACAATGTCCCATTCGGTCTGGAAGTTCATCACAGCCGTAACACCCAGCTCGTGCTTCAGCTTGATGGTGACATGCTCCAGCTGCCGAGGGCAACTTCCCAGCCAGATGTTTGGCAGAATTCTAGCATTGAGAAAACATTGCAGTGGGATTGATTAAAATATCTTAACAAGGAAACTGCCAAGTTCAGCGGTGTTCCAGCTCCAAACCTGCTTAGCATCATCGTACGAACGCTGCTAAGCACAGCCTTTTCATGTCATTGCAGTAAGTAGCTTCTTATTTCATTACAGTTGAATTGGTCATGTTTGATGATGAGGATCAAGTTCCTAACCTACCACAAAGAGCCAGACGGTCTGAGAAAAAATTCAGAGCCTAATTAGTAGCACAGGTCTCCAAGGCATCCATCATTAAGCTTACAGCAGAAGCTTACTAACATCACAGATTAGAGTAAGAAAATTCTGAAGATCCATGCAATTTGCAGAAAAAAAAAAAGACCTAAAAGATTCACATGATCCAGATCTGAACTACTTTAGTAATAAGTCAAACACGTAAAATTCCTCCAGCTTTGTAGCTACCACTATAATGAGGAAAGTAGACCAAAAAAAAATATAAAAAAACAAAGCAAAACTTAAAATATCCTCCTGTGAGGAAACTCCTACATGAATGAGTAATTTTCTTCTCATTTTTCTCTGCTCTTGTGGAGTCTAGTGGGAACCAAATGCAGAATTACAATACATGTCTGGCTTACCTCAAGGCCTGAAGAATCAGAAATTTTGCAAGAAAACTCAAGAGGTATGTTTAGGATGGATAAACATCTGTATTTCTGGTACTTATCTAAATCAAACTCCAAGACTTCTATGATTTCTCCCATTTTAATTATCATAAAATTCTTGTATGTCTCAATAGATTTTGACATAAATATAAACTGAATATTAACAGGCTTGTTTTCAAATAAGGATTTTTAATCTGCACATGCAATTAAACTGATGGTATCTGCAATGCAGTATTTACATGCACAAATTATTAGTCATCTACTTTAATTTTTTTTGTTTGCATAAACTTCAATTTTGAACATGCAGTCCACAAACTACACGAAATATCCCTGCTGTTGAACATACAACTTTGTAAACATTGGTAACTGCAAAAAAAATGAAGCCAATTGACAACAAAAGCAAGATCCTCAAATGTCTGCCATGCATTTCTTATGGTCGTTTCCAATTTTAATCTTAGAGACAAATAAGAAAAGTTTTATGTTTATTCAGGAGCAGTTAGTCCTATAAACAGCCCTTAAATCATCAGGTAGCTATTTCCATTCCACTATCACAGTAATAAGTGTTTATTAGCATTTAATTAAGACCTATAATGGACAATGATTAAATCCTGCTATGTTACTAACGGAAAGATTGTAAAAAAGAAAAATTCAAATCCCAGAACCACTTGTTATTATTGTTTCCTGTATTTCGGCTGCATCCACCGTGAGTTGCATACCAGCCACACAAACTCTGTCTTTGGCCTTAACAGCCCCAGTTTCAGTGAGACGACACACTTCACCTCAGGGCACGGTAACCGAGTCCCGTTTAGACAAACCTTTTACATAGCAAATAACCATTTCAACTGTGTTTCAACAGTGAGACCATTTGAAGAGATTTGGCTTAGTAGTTGTTTCACACCCATGTTCTGGTCTAGATTGTGGTGAGAGTATTTCCCACTGCTAACAGAAAACGCATTTTTTCCTGAGTCGCAAGCAAGCTTTAACCCACAATTTCAGAAATTAAGATTTACACCTTGAAGTCATTTCCTTTGTCACTTTTCTTACACTCCTGAACACTACCTTTATAAAGGAGAGATGACACGGAAAGAAAGACATTCTAATACACAGGCTCTGGGTTTCTTAAGCGACAAATTAAATTCAGTTCATGTATTAAGAAATATCAATACTCAGTCAACAGCGGACTCCACAGCAACCTGCAGGAAATGCAATAGAGCACAACAATTGTGTATGACCATTATGTTCAAGGCATAATCCCACATACTGGTACAGGAAGGGAGCCTCTCGAAATTGCCCAAAACCCAGCATAACCAGCTCGAGCATTCCCACTGACGAGAGGGGTTGGCCATGGCCCACTGCCACCATTGCTTCACTGCCCCACTTCCCACGTGCCAGCCCCACAGCAAACCCCATCCTAACCTGCAAGAGTGACCGCTCTCAGGCTTCTGCCACAGGAATCCATCGCAACAAGTAGAGTATTTCAAGGCGGCGAATGTAAGTTAAAGTGCCCTAAGAGATGCTGATGAATGGTTGGAGATGAGCAATGCCCACGAAACTCCGTAGCCGGGAAAGAAAAATGGCAGTATCGCTAATACCTTGTGACAATATGAGAATATTCTTTCAAGAACAAGAACATTAGTATCCTTCCTTCAAAGGCTTTCCTGGAGACTCATACATATGTAGTTCTCTTGATATTTTAGGAAATATCTAATACAATAAATTACCTTGACAGGAGAGCAAAAGTGTATTTTCTAGCATATGATTGAATCAGGAGTGACTAAAGCGTATCTGAGATAAATAAAATTCTGGGTAGTACTCTTGCTTACAAATAAATCAATGCTTTACAATTTTTCCCCCAATGATTATTTAGTGGGCAAACATCACAGCTGCGCTATCTGCAAGGCCACTGGGATAAACATCATTTCTTTATTTTGTTCTTGCAGCCTAAAGGGTCTTGTCCATAACAAGACCTCCTGTATTGCACAATAATAATTGCATTAACCAATCTGATGGGTTTACCAAGTTTTTATCACTGTCTTTCCCTGTAATTAACCAAACTAGTGGTGGCATTCAGAGAATGACCAAACCAACGTATTTAGGACAGGCAATTCTTGTGAATTATTTTTCTGATCAGGTCCTAGAGTTTTGACTTTGAGAGGATCAAGATACAGCCTTAACCCTGGTATTCAAGCCCCTTATTTACCCACCTCCAAATAACTGTTTAGTCTTGGTCTTGCTGGACAAGGCTTAACCACTCTTTTCCCAGGAGAACACTCCATGCAGAAGACAGTACTGCAGAGCTGTCCTGTCAGCCAATTTATGTTAAAGTTCTGGGACAGTCCTACTGCACAGTACCTACATTTCCATTTGGCTTTATCTGGTTCTTGTCTTGACTTTGTCTTACATCAGAAGGAAAGAATGAAAGGGTCAGTGCACATGCGAGTACAGAAACTGATGGAGAGTTTAGCAGCTATATTTTATGTACTGATTTTTGATAGCCCTGCTGAGGACTTAATTATACTGAGGACCAGGGAAAGGTACACATTAAACAAAGCAAGAATGCGGCAATTTAATTTTTACATCCCTTTCCTTAGTAATACGACTTTTAGTGTTTCTTTTCCAATGTGGCCTTTCTTCTTTAAGTTGCCACTGTACCTCTGTAGGTAGCTAGATTTTAGCCACCAAAGTATTTGTATGGAAAATAAATCTCTCTTACTTTCCCCTCTCAACTGTCATGTAACAGTGCCCTGAGCTCTCCGAGAGCTGCTGCCTTCCAGCTCACGTGTGGTTGTTTTCCAGCAGCAGATTAAGTGATCCCTACGCACAGTTCAAAAAACATTCAAGGATTATGTGTGATCGATAAACCTATAATCTTTTCAGCTGTTAACCCCTGTCATAGTCCCCAAATGTCACAACAGGATGGTGTTTTAACAAAATTCTACTTAGAATTCTGTTTTAATATAAAAATGGCACTTTGTCATTGTATGTGTTACCTCCCTGTGTTACTCAGGATAGTAAATCATGCTTGGTCCCAGAAGACACGGTCAATTCAGTCAGAGGCAGTTTATCAATGAAGAAATCACCCAGAGTAACATCAAAAATATTCAGCTAACTTCTGAGATTAAGACTCGTAGATTGTCTAAAAGCCCCTTCTTTAAAGCTACTTTCTGTAAAGCTACTTTCTGCAAAGTTACTTTCTGCCTGCCCTACACTTCAGTTCTCCATCAGTAATATGGAGATAATAGTTACATACCTTAAGGGGACTTTTGGGGATTAAATGGATGAATGAAGGTGAGAAGCTTGAATTTACGGTAACAAGGACTAAATGTTAGGCAGGTGTCTGCTCAGTTTGACTTACAGAGCCCATACGGAAGGCTGACGTGTTAAAAACCTGCCCTTTGACTCGTAAACTGAGAAAACCAACAATGATTTATCATTACCAGGGAATAAATATGGAACACCCTGAAATCACTTGTACGGTTATTTTCCAGTTGTCATCACACTTAAATTATTTTTAATGATGCAGATACATATAGCACTTGGCTGCTTCCCCTCAGGACCCTGCACAGCCTAGATTAAATTATAACAATTCACTATGAATGCATCTGAAACAACAAATGCATTCCGTTTAATCCATGCATACGCAAATAGTCTTCCCATCCTTAAGGAGAAAACGAGTCTGAGGCAATGAAAGATTAGCATTCTGATACTTCTTTTTTTAATGGTGCAGACTGTAATTTTCAGGCTAGAGGAAATGTTCCCAAGGCGTGACGCACTGTACCTTTCAATCTTAAACCTCCACAGACAGTACAAACCCAACCCAGCAAGTGTAGCTGCAGAGAACCGATTCACAAGGAGGGTGACCTGTCCTACGGGAAGGTACCAGGTCACGGCATCGGACAGGCAACTTCTCCTCCACGACACAGATGTCCATGCTGCTTCTTAAGCAGCTCCCACATTACTTTTGTTGATAATGGTTTAAGGCAAGCTGCCATCAAATTAAAATTTCCTTAAAATGCGGAGCTGTAAGCCGGGATGACTCAGGTACTGTTTCCAGATCTGTTTAATCATCGGTGTACTAGGAGCAGGCATCTTACAATCTCTCCTAAAATCAGTCAACCCTTCTAAGGAGTCACAATTCTTACAAAAAAAGGGTAGGATTCAAGCCTTTGGGGAACACATTTCATCAGAACATCTATCAGGCACAATATTTCAGATGGCCTTCTATCCCTATAGTTGCCAGCTTTAATCAAGAAAGAGGACTTTGCCAAACTAAGGAAAAATACTGAGGTATTTTTCATTGGTTATTGGCAACAGAGTGATCCATCAACCATGCCACTCGTTTATATCGGTA